GTTAGTCCTAGAAACCGAGCTATTCATAGCAAGACATTCCATGAAAAGCCTACCAGGATTAGTCCCGCAAGGGAAATTGAAATCCCATGCACGCGTAAAATCCTCTGCTTCACTTCTCCTCGAATCCTTAAAACCCGTAACAGATCTCGAACTAACAAGCTTATTAGCTTCATTCTTGCTACGATCTCTCTTCAAAGTCGAATCCTTTTTCCCACTCAAAACCAAACCCCCAAAAACAGTCTCAATCCTACCATATATGGTGCAAACCGTTCGAGCCAACATCTCAACAACCTTATCATAAGTTTGGTTCCACAGTGAAGCATCTCTAAGACTCCTCACATCTTGTCTCTGCCACATTAGCTTCTGTTCGAAAGCTTTAACACTCTCTTGATGTTGTTGGCTTCGTTGAAGCTTCACCATCGCCTGTTCAAGCTCATTCATCACTTCCATTTCACAATACAAACTACAAGTAGCATTAACGAATCTCTCCATCTTCCTAACCATACTATCCATATCTTTCACCAAGAACCCTAATTTCCTAAAATCAATCACACCATTCACTATATCTTCATAGACATGCTCAAATCCTTGTAAAGCAGGTTCGTTACATTTTTTACCTAACCTAGACACGACGCTAGCTACACGGCTTAAATCGTCGAGCTTCTCGGAGACAGCGAGGTCTAAGAGGTGAATCTCGTCGGAGGAGACAAGGCTTCTGACACCTTCGGACCGGAAAACCTCGGATTTGAGGTTTGAGATCTCGTTGTCGGAGAGAGAACGGTGAAGGTGAACGGTTTTGGACATGATGTTAGCTACTTCGAAAGATAAGATTCCAATAGTTTGTTTAGGGAGAGGGGTTTTAAGGGTTTTCTTTGTGGTGGTTGTGTGTGATTCAAGAAGAAGAGCGTGTTTGAGATTAGCACTTACTTGGTTTCCCATTTTCACAATCCAAGCTTCTGCAACCATGACGGAATTAAAAAATCGAAACTTTGAAACAGAGAGAATCAAATAAAGTTTGGTTCTTTATAAAAAAACAGATCCGGGGAAAAAGAAGACATTTGGCTTTGGCGAGAAACGAAGAAAGAGAGTGGGATTCGCGCATGAAAAGGGTATAATCATTGGGGATTATGGGCGGTACGGAAAGAAGAAGAAGACCATTGATGGTGCTTTTTGAGGAATTGGAGAAGGCAAAAGT